TAGGTGCTAAAGAATTCGACAAGGTTTAATTTTGTAGACAAATAATGTCGCTCTGACAGTACACAATCAGATGTTTTAACTTCGTTCGGAAGATAGGGAAAACTAACGACCTGTAAAAAAAACCTGAAAGAAAAACCTGAAGAAAAATATTTCGCGTTTATCATTACCATAAAATTTCAAAAGTCTGATTCTATACTACGAAAACGATAGCGTTTTTCTACGAAACAGAATTATTCCGAGCTCGATAGCACCTAAAATGAGTAAGAAATTTGGTAAACCACACTTGCCTCATTTTAACCACTATTGTCGTGACATATCGCGAAGGAAGGGAAACAGATTGAGTCAAAAAATTCTGTCACCATATTTTGGTAATGATCAACATTTTCTGAAAGTTTAGTCCAGATCCGACTTGTAGTTGCCCAAATAGATTTCTAACAGGAAGGGGAACGTTAAATGAGCTAGGAATGAACATCGTATAATTCTTTATAGAATTTTAATTTACTGAAAAGTTTTGTAATATCAAAAGTTACTTTCGTTTTTAGACCGCCAACATTAAATTCCGTTCAAAGCATGGAAGAGCGTCCTTTGATCAATCCCGTCAAAGATAAAGATGAAGGATATAGTTCATTACCTGCACCAAATTCAATAATTCGATCTTGTACGTTATTGTATTTTTATCTGAATATTTTTTTAACATTTTATGTCTATAGGGAGCTCGAATGCAAGTGTTGTGTCTTCAGCATCAGGCATTGATCTTCTCGGAGAAGAGTTAACAAGTCAAAAGTTTGGTCGTTTATATAGAAGGTACATTAAATGTATTAATCGTACAACAAGACAGACAAAACCTCGACAGGTAATGTACGATAGTATTGTTTAGTTCTCGATAGACAAAGTGTTTTGTTTAATAGGCAGGAAGACGTCATCGATTATTTCTTGGTATGGCGTTTATTGTCACATTTCCATCAAATCAGCAAGACAAATATAAGTGAGTGACATTACATCTCTAAGTTACTTAACAAAAGTTTCTTTTTCTTTTAGTCACTTCGAACAGTTTTTTTGTACCCATGCACCATTGATTGAACGTCATTTTTATAGAATTATGGTTGCAGCTGAAAATAATATTACAGATAAAAATGCATTTGCTCCAGCCGTTTTAGAGGTATGAGAAAAACTTTACTCTTTATTTTTTATCATACAATTACTATTTATAATCTAATTTAAGAAATATATGGCATTTAAAGATGAAATTAATATATTATATACACGACCGCGTTTATTATCTCCTGCATGGTATAATTTTACACAAGAACAACAAACAACGAGTAAACGACGATTATTTGCCGAAGACTTATGTGCAATAATTGAAATGTTCACGGCACCAAAATTTGGAAAGTGAGAAAAATTTTATTTTTATTTTCTTAGCAAAAGAAATGCAAACTATATTACTATTTTGCTTTCTTTTCAAGTTTTCTCAATTGTGTTTTATCGGCCTTACTCAGTTATCAATTATCGTGGCTTTCAACTGTGGCACCATCGCGAGTGAAATCGAAATATCATTTTTTATCAAAAAACAAAGCGGATTACGTATGTTTTTTCTTATTACTTTTTCTCTAACTATAATCATATTCTTTTGTTATTTAGACGGGTTTATTGCAACAAATTTATCAATACAGTCCATTATGGGCCCAATTGATGTATGAAGTGAATGTTTTGTATTTAATTATATTTACCTGTTGCCTTTTTTTTTAGTGATCTTTACAGTGCATATGGTCAACCACCTTGTATTTGTCGTACGATAATTGTTGGTACAGATCCGACATTAGTATCCCGTTTATTATATTTACTTAGTTATTTTATTCGTCCAAGTTATTTAACCTATCAAGAACAAAATTATTCATTAGTTACTACTAATAACAATGTCAAACAGACTGAAAATGATAATACGAATAATTATACGGAATTAAAAAAAAAGATGTCTGATTTAATAACTCAAGCAACACAGATACAAAATGTAGATCCATTTTCACCTGTTCAAAGTGATGATGAAGATTCACAAAATAATGATAATAATAATGATGATTTTTATAATAATTTAACCGAAGATGAACAGTTAGAACAAGAATCATTTCATCAGCCACAGTTAACTGAACAACAACAGTATTATCAATTAGAATTTTCAACTTATAATGGTGATGATACATCATTATCATCAACAAATGATGTTAATGAACAAGAAATTCAAGATTTATTAAACACATTAATTATACAAATTGAACAAATACAGTGTAGAAATGAACAGTAAGTATCACTTTTTCGAGTAGTTTTTTTTATAGCAAATTATTTCTATACTTTATAAAGAAATGGACATAGTTAACATATACTTTATAGTATCTATAGTGATTGAATAATACTATGTCCAAGAATTTTTTCAATGTAGTTTTAAATGAATATTGTGTGAATAATACTTTATCAACTAGTCATATTTTATATTTGTTTTGTAGAAAAACATTAATCAATTCAAATTCAAGTTATACACCCAAAAAAATTGAACAGAAAACGAAATTATCAAACACAATTTATCGTACATCTACTCCATCAGATAATAATCAGCAGCAGCAACAAACAATAACAAATAAATTAACAAAACGTATCATGTTAATGCCACTATTTGAACCACAACCAGTAACAAAAACTTATGATGAGAATGGTACTTCTGGTACATCGACAGAATTATATGTTTTAATGAATTATCATAAAGATCTAGCTCTATCACTTATTGGTTCTTTATCAACTGTCTATTCAAGTGATTTTATTCTACAAGGAATTGAATTACATTCACCAGAATCATTATTAAAACTAAGGCAAACAATTATTAATCAATTAAGACATGATATTGAAGATGGTGGAGCATTTTTAAGCGATGAAGCAATTGATGAGTCTATTTGTTTAATTATAAATACAGATCAATTAAATGTTGAATTATATTCAAGTAAACATTCAAATATATCATTGAGGCAAGAAGCAACAACTGTCATACAAACATTAATTGAACAAATTAAAATGAAAATACAATTACCAGCCGATTTTTTTGTTTTGAATTTAGAAGATTATTTACAAGAAATTTATTTTCTTGCCTTAGCAGTTTTGAAGTATATGAAAACACTTGACGATAAGGTAAAAAGAATTAATAAATAAGATTTTATTCTGATACATTGGTAAATTTTAATCGTTCTATTTTTCAGGCAACTCATAGAGATATATCTCGTCAAGAAAGCAATACGAGTTTGGCTACATCATCATCTACAGCAAAATCGGATAATGATAATAAAATTTCAATACAATCAAGTCACATATCAACAGTATCTCCGTCCGAAACAACAAAAAGACGTTCGACTATAATACAAACTAACTATTTAAAAAACAGTTCATCGATTGTTTGTGAAGTAATGGAAAAATTTCATTTAAAACGTTCAGATTGGTTATTTCTTAAAAATATTCTAAAATTGTTAGAAGATGAACAATTTCATATTGGTGAATAAACAGTGAGCTTTTTTTTTGTTTTTTTTTTTATTTTGTTATTGTTGGTTTTTTG